ATCCCATCACCAGAGTAGGTCAGTTCCAGCTGTCTCTTGACCATCGCCAGCAGTCTAAGTTGGTATTTTGTTTTGTGGAGGGCGAGGCAGTGTTCCACTGTGGACTCAGACTCATTCCTCTAGGCTAAGCTTTGTGATTATTGGGATTCCGGACTTATATGAGCAAACCTGGCTCTAACATTGACGTTAAAACTGTTCAGTCATGGACTTTCTGATAAAAGCTACTAAATGTAATAAATAATAAATCTTACATTTCAACTTGGAAAAGAAATGCAGTATTGGAGCCTGGCCTGGGGATGCAGTCCTGTAATTTCAGCTACCCAGGATGCTGATGCTAGAGAACATCAAATGTGAGGCCAAATTGTGCTACAGAGACCCCTCAGGTTAACCTGGACAACTTAGTCAACACTGTCTCATAATAGAAAGCAGACAGAGGGTTGGAGCGCAGCATGGTGTCAATAAGGTCATAACTCAGAATGCTGAGGCAGGAGGATTTCCACCATGAAGAAGTTCAAGGAAATCCTGGCCACAGAGTGAGATCCTGTTTCAAATAAAGTAAAAAAGAAAGAAAGAATGGGTGGGGAAATGGTACTATAGCTTAGTGGCTTGCCTAGTACATGTGTGACCCTAGGTTCAGTCTCCAGGACCACTAAAGAAGTAAAGGCTGGCTGGACGGTGGTGACATGTGCCTTTAATCCCAGCACTCGGGAGGAAGAGACAGGTGGATCTCTGTGAGTTCGAGTCCAGCCAGGTCCACAGATGGAGATCCAGGACAGGCAACAAAACTACACGAAGAAACCCTATCTCAGAAAAAAAAAAGTAGAAGAAGTAAAGGCTGGCAAGATGGCTCTTGCTGGCAAACTGACCAGAGTTAACCCTTGCAACCCACACAGTGGAAGGAGAAAACAACATCCCAATGGTTGTCTTCTCACTTCCACTAAGGCCTTGGCACATGTGAGCCTGCATGGATAGACATATACAAATACACACACACACACACACACACACACACACACACACACACACACACACACACAAATAAATAATAAATCAATGTAAAAAATAAGCAAATAAACCATGCAACACAAAAGGGGCTTACACTGGAAATTACTCATGATTATCTGAAATTCTAGTTGAAGTTGATATCCTTCCAGCATTTTACCTGTGGTATGATTTGGTATGCATCTTATTCTACAAGAGAAGGAAGTTGGCATTAGCAATAGTGTAGAAGACTTCTTTTCTTGGTAGAACATCTTCCAGGGCTCTCCTGTTCCCTCCTGACAACACTAGGAGAGATGACCCTGTCTCCCTGGTCTCTGCCTGTAAGGTCTGCTGACCTGAGCAGAGGGGTCTCATTGTGGGTGCTGCCTCATTTGGGTCAGACAGAGGAGGAGGCTCCAGATGGGAAATGTGAGTTGGGCAGACACTGCAAAAGATTCAGGCTCAGAATTGGCTGCAGTGGTAGATCTAGCCACCCAGGCACGGATGCATGACCTGAGCCAGATCCTATGAGGACCAGTGAGAAAAGATGTGTGTGGAAGAGGCAGAAGGAGGAAGGACTCCAGGTTGCCATATCAGAGCTGGGCACTTGCGGAGACTGAACTGTGTGAACTAGGAACCAGGAGGGGGAACAGTTTTGAGAGAGAACCAGCATTCCTGAGGTTGAACACATATGATTTGTCTTCAGCATCCAGCTGCAGTTTCACAATCACTGGAGTGATGTTTATGGAGGCCATTCAGCAAGTTATGAAGAGTTTCATCTGAAGGATGGAGAGCATGTAATAAAGGTACAAGGCAGCGTGGGAATCTGCCTGAACTCTCTGACCTTCATTACCAACAAGGGGACTGAGTTTACCTTTGGAAAAAAACGTGGCCATCAAATTGAGGCGAATGGAGGTCCAGACAAGCATCTACAGACTGTCAATGGCATGTATTCAATGCTCTGCCTCCGTGGGATAGGCTTCAAATGGACTCATGGACCAGAGAAGCCTCAAAGAGAACCAACGATCATCCCTGGCCCTGACAAAGAGAAGGAAGATAGCAAAGATAAAGACAAAGGCAAAGATAAAGACAAAGATGAAGACGACAACGATGATGATGATGATGATAATGATGAGGACGATGATGACAACGATGATGATGATGAAGATGACAAGAAGGAAGATGAAAAAGAGTCCTAGTGGACTCAGATCTCAGTCCTGCATCCCCATATTGTATGACCTCTCAGTCAAGCTCACCCACCAGGAGGGACCAGGGTCCCAGGTGACCCTGGGCTGGAGGAGGCAAAGCCCAAAAGACCCTGTATCTCTGTGTCCAATAAACTTTGTGCATCCATATGAGCCTAAGTGGTCCTTGTCACCAGATAGGATGGTTTGAGGTCCCCCAGAGCCTCCTGTACCTCCCCACTTTTTGGACCTGCACCCTTGCACTGAGTCAGGGTTCACACAGAAAGACCCTAGGTCAACTCAGCAGGCCTGAGGGCCCCAGAATGAGGCCAGCATCCAGCCACTGCCTGTCTCAAAGCAACTTGGGGTCTGCAGGAAGAGCTCAATGTGTGTTGACCAAGCTGGTGGGGCCTGGCTTTGCAGTGGTCCCCTGTAACTGTATTTGAGCAGGTGCCATTGTCTCCTGTTCCTCTCCAGACCTCCCGATCTCCAACCACCTCTTCCCTTCCCTTGTCCTGTCCTGGGCACTATCCTCCCTCACAAAGCTAGGCTGCCTGTGTAAGTAGTAAGTTGTTACCACTCATTTTCATATGTGGTACTCTTGGAGTTCATCAGTTTCAGACCAGCAGGAGGTACTGAGCCCCTCTCTCCCTAGCCCGGAGCAGGAGAGTTCCAGGCTGTCTGCTATGTGACTGTACCCAGGGCCATTTAAGGGTCCATCTGAAGCCCCAAATATTCATCAGATAAGGCTCTGTGTCCTAAACCAGTAGGACAGGGAATTGGGGATGGGCCAAGTCCTAGCCTATGGGAGAAGAGGACAAGAATTTCCCAAGATTGGAGGACTTTAAGAACCATTGTCCTTACAGGCAGGACAAAGGCCTTGTGGCTGGGTTGGTGTCCCAGTCTCCCCACTGAAAGACTTGCCTGACTACAGAAGATGACCTGTTCAGGTTCATATCCCCCATTATTAGGAGTCTTTGTTAGGGTCACCCTCATAGACTCCAGGGAGTTTCCACTGCACTAGGTTTTCATATTCCATATTCCATAGACTCCCCCTCCCAATTCCAGTCTTTTCTCTGTGTACTCTCTCCCTCCACCCCACCCCTGGCTTGACCCTCCTCTCTTCATCCCCACAAGCCCCCAGTCCACCTGCAAAGTCTATTCTATTTCCCCCTCCCAGGGAGATCCATGAGTCCCCCCTTGAGCCCTTATTGTAACTTATCCTCTCTGTGTCTGTGGATTTTGCCATGGGTATCCTTTACTTTATAGCTGATATCTACTTATAATTGAGTGTATACCATGTTTTTCTTTCTAGTTCTGGGTTACCTCATTTAGGATGATTTTTTTTTCTAGTTCCATCCATATGCCTGCAAATTTCCTGATGTCTTTTTTTTTCTTTTTAACTGCTGAGTACAACTCCATTGTGTAGTTTATCATTTTCTTTATCCATTATTTGGTTGAGGCACATCTAGGTTGTTTCCAATGTCTGGATGTTATTAATAAAGCCACAATGAACATAGCTGAGCAACTTTCCTTACGGTAGAATGGAGTGTCCTCTGTGTATATGCCCAGGAGTGGCAGAGCTGGGTCTTGAGGTAGATCGATTCCCAATTTTCTGAGAAACCACCACATTGATTTCCACAGTCGCTGTGAAGATTGCACTCTTGCCAGCAATGAAGAAGTATTCTCTTTGCTCCACATCCTCTCCAGCATGGGCTCTCACTTGTATTTTTTATTTTAGCCATTCTAACAGATATAAGATGGAATAACATAGTAGATTTGATCTGCATTTCTGTGATAGCTTAGGATGTTGAACATTTCTTCAAGTGTTTTTTGGCCATTTATGAACCCCTTGGAGGGGGAGGAAGGATTGTAGAAGCCAGAGGGTGTTAGGACACCAGGAGAACACAGTCCACAGAATCAACTAAGCAGGGCTTGTGGGAGCTCCCAGAGACTGAAGGGACAGTCACAGATCCTGTATGGGTATGTTTATGTAAGGTCTTTGTTTGTTTGTTTATTTGTTTTTTGGTTTTTCAAAACAGAGTTTCTCTGTGTGGCTTTGTGCCTTTCCTGGAACTCACTCTGTAGCCCAGGCTGGCCTCAAACTCACAGAGATTCACCTGTCTCTGCCTCCTGAGTCCAGGAATTAAATGTATGTGCTACCACAACCCAGTCTGCTTCTTGGTGCTCTTGTGGGACTCTTAACAGTGGGAGTGGGGCTCTCTCTGGCTCTTTTGTCTGCTCTTGGGACCCTCTTCCTCCTACGGGGTTGCCTTGTTCAGCCTTAATATGAGGTTTGTTCCTAGTCTTGTTGTAACTTGCTGTGCTGTATTCCATTGATATCCCTGGGAGATCAGCTCTTTTTTGCAAGGAAACAGAGGAGTGATTCTGGGACAGAGGGGTGGTGGTAGGTGGTAGGGAGGGGAATGGAAGTAGGGGAAACTGCCAGGATGTAATGTAGCTGGTGTTTTCTTCTATTCCACCTGGGCCTGCATATGCTCAGACCCAAATAAACACACAGAGGCTTATATTAATTAAAGCTGTTTGGCCATTAGCTCAGGCTAACTACTGACTAGCTCTTACACTTAAACTCAGCCCATTTCTGTTAATCTATATGTCACCATGTGTTTTGAGGCTTTACCTGTATACCATTACATGCTGCACCCTGGACTGTGGGCTAGTTTTAGTTTTGTTTTCATCTTTGATTTTCAGGCTCGGGGGTAAAATATTATTATATTATATAAAATTCATTTTTATTTATTAAAAACATATTTTACCTATCATGATTTCATGATTCAGACTTCTTTTTCTCATAATTCTCCTTGTCTGCTTATCCCACCTATACTTCCTGTCTGGCTACTGTCCGGTCAGCATTTTATTAAACCAATGTACAAAAGCATTGTCCCACAACAATGTAATATATGAGAGAAGAAGGTTTTCAAAGCTTGACAATATGTATATAGATGATCTTTTTTGTTAAAATATACCATGTATCTGGATGATGATGGTCCATGTCTTTAAACCTAGCACTCAGGAGGTAGAGGCAGGTGTATTCTGTGAGTTTGAGGTCAGCCTGGTCTACAGAATGAGTTCCAGGACAGCCAGACTGTCACAGAGAAAAGAACTAAAAAATGTACCATATATATATACTTTGGAACCAATGCTTGTTTGAGAAATGAAATAGTGTAAATGAGATAAAAGTTCTTAGGAGGAGATAGGTAAAATATGTTTTTAATAAATAAAAATTAATTTTATATATTATAATAATATTTTACACCCGAGCCTGAAAATCAAAGATCAAAACAAAACTAAGAAAAATTAATGCTAAAAGCTAAGCTCAGAAGATCTGAGTGAGTTGTGCAAGGTTTCTGGAAAATGACCTAAGGATGGTCTATGTTTATGATAAAATTCCTAAGATTATACTGGTCCACCTTTGGTAATATTAAAAGAGCATTTTGTTTTGTTTTTGTTTTGTTTTTGAGAGAATTTTATCTGTGTGACAGCTCTGGCTGTCCTGGAACTCACTCTGTAGACCAGGTTGGCCTCAAACTCACAGAGATCTGTCTGCCTCTGTGAGTCTGAGATTAAAGGTTTGCACCACCATAGCCCAATGACAAAGAGTCTTAAAAGACAATGAGTATAAGTCTAATCAATATAATATCTTACATTTTGGTCAATCTTTCTGTCTGTTTTTTGAGACAAGGATACCCTGCATAGGCCTGGCTGTCATAGAACTCACTATGTATACCAAGATGGCCTAAAATTCAAAGAGATCCACTTGCCTCTGCTTCTTGAGTGCTGGAATTAATGTGTGTCCCACAACACTTGGCCATATTTTTTGTTCACTATATTAGACTTTAACCACTTGGGGAAACTGAGTCATAACAAAATAAGAATGAGGTGGTTTGAATGAAAATGGCCCTCAAGGTGTGGCCTTCTTGGAGGAAGTAGGTCACTGTGGGTGGGCTTTGGAGTTATAGAAGCTGAAGCCAGGCCCAGTGTCTCTCTCTCTTCCTGCCTCCCGCTCATTTAGATGTAGAACTCTAGGCTCCTTCCCTAGCACCGTTTCTGACTGATGTTGCCATGTTTTCCTGCCATGACGATAATGGACTAAACCTCTGACTGTTAGACAGCCCCAATGAAATGTTTTCCTTATAAGAGTTATTGTGGTCATGATGTCTCTTCACAGCAATACAAACCTAAATTAAGACAAAGAGTTTCTTTAAATATTTTTAAAGTTTTTATTAGTTTAGTTATGTGAGTGGTTTGCCTGCCCATTTATATGTGCACTGTATCTGTGCCTGGTGCCTCCAGGAG